GAATCACAGTAGGCTATTAAGTCTATGCTGCTTTTTGACGACATCAAAGTCCAAGTCCTAGACTACTTTTAACGTATTTAACAATTCTCAGTGCAACTTCCAAATGTGACTGCTTTGGATTATGCATATGTTGATTGAGAGTTTGTACCGAGAAACTAATATCTGGTCTAGTCATAGTTAAATAAAGCAATCTGCCTATTAATCTTTTGAACACAGAAGGATCTTCCAGTAATTTATTTTCTTCTGTTGGTGGATATCTCTGATCATATTCAAATGAAGTGACTTTCTGATTTTGCTCAAAAGGAGTTTTGATTGGTTTAACATCTCTCATTCCAACTTCAGAGATCAATTCCAAGGCATATTTTCGCTGGTTTAACACTATGCCTTCTTTGGATCTATCTACTTCAATACCGAGAAAGTATCTTAACTCTCCCAAGTCTTTTATTTTGAAACTTCTCTGCAGGATGTCTTTCAACTGTTTGATCATCTCTTCACAATTTCCGGTGATTAAGATATCATCTACATAAACCAGTAGAATGATAATCTTGCTGCCATGTTTTCTTGTAAACATAGAGTAATCATGCTTGCTTTGGATGTAACCATTTGTAATCAAAGCTTCAGTCAACTTTAGGTTCCATTGCCTGCTGGCTTGTTTCAAGCCATAAAGACTTTTGAGCAATCTACATGCTCGATACTCCCCCTGATTGCGAAACCCTTTAGGCAGCTCCATATACACTTCTTCATGCAAATCTCCTTGAAGAAAAGCATTAAAAACATCCATCTGATATAGTGGCCACTGATAAATAGAAGCTAAGGCCAAGATACTACACACTGTCACCACTTTTGCAACTGGAGAAAAAGTTTCTGTAAAATCAATGCCTTCCTGCTAGTTGTAGCCCTTGGCTACAAGTCTGGCTTTGAAACGCTCAAGAGTGCCATCAGACTTATATTTCACCTTAAAGACCCATTTGCAGCCTATGGCTACCTTGCCAAGAGGAAGAGGGACTAATTCCCAAGTATGGTTAGCTTCCAAGGCATTGATTTCAGCTTGCATAGCTTCAATCCAGTGAGGATATTTGATAGCCTCTTCATAAGAATAAGGTTCAATATGTTTAGACATAGAAGTAAGGAAGCAGTGATAAGGAGCAGTAAGATGATCATAGCAAATGTACTTTTGAATAGCAAAATGAGCATAAGGAGAAACATAATCTGTAAGCCATAATGGAGGCCTGGTGCTGCGAGAGGATCTTCAAGGAGCTGGAATTATGACTTGAGGAACATTCGGCGAAGGATGAAAAGAAGCACGAATGTCAGGAGCAGTTGTTGGCATGGAGTCCGACTCAGGAGTCGTTGGAATCTGAGGTAGTAAATCTGAACCAAAATCCAAAGTAGCTGTAGGGTCTGAAGATGGAAATACTGGTGGAGATGGGATAGCAGATTGGAAGGGAAAAATATGTTCCATGAATTGCACATCTCTACTGACAAACAATTTCCTAGTGACAAGAGAGAGAAGCCTGTAGCCTTTTCGAGTGGATGAATAACCCAAAAAAACCGAGGGAACACCTCTGACACCCAGCTTATCTTTAGAAGTGAAGTTGGTAGCATAACATGAGCAGCCAAACACCTTGAAATGCTCAACAGAAGGAGGTCTGGAGTGGAGCAGCTCGTATGGACTTTTGTTAGAAAGAACTGTAGTGGGCAGTCTATTGATGATGTAACAAGCAGTGAGGATACACTCACTCCAGTAAAGGATAGGAATGTTTGCTTGAATCCTTAATGCCCTAGCCACTTCAAGAAGGTGTCTATGCTTCCTCTCTACGACACCATTCTGCTGAGGAGTGGCTACACAAGAACTTTGGTGAATGATCCCCAAAGAAGTAAATAACTCAGCACATTGTGAATTAAAGAATTCACTCCCATTGTCTGATCTAACAATCTTCAGAGAAGAAGAAAATTGAGTATGTACAAGAGCAATAAATGTCTTGAGATGTATGACTGTTTCATGCTTATGCCGCATTAAGAAAATCCAAGTAATTCTGGTGAAGTCATCAACTAATGTTAGAAAAAATCCGTGACCATTATGTGTAGGCTGAGAATATGGTCCCCATACATCCATGTGAATTAAAGTAAAGGGTGCAGAAGCTCTATTATGACTTGCTGTGAATGGCATTCAAGTTTGCTTGGCAAAAGGGCAGATATGACAATCAAATGCATGGTCATCCTTAACAAAAACATGTTTGATTGCAGAATAATATTTGAGTTTAACAATGGGTACATGTCCCAATCGTTTGTGCCACAACTCATAAGAACTATGCATACATTGCTTGGTATTATTTGAAACTGGAAAACTTGGAATAACAGCATGTGAAACAACAGTAGTTGAAGGTGATCTATCAGAAACAGCAGCAGGTAATCTTGAATGAACTAACTCTGATGGTGACTGTGTTGATGGGGGCTGTGGCAGTAGAAAGTAAAGGCCCTCAGTTTGTCTACCAATCCCCTTCATCTGCCAATTTGAGAGGTCCTGAATTACACAAAATCAGAAAAAAAGACACGAAGCAAGATAAGTCCTTAGTGAGCTTGGCAGTGGAGATCAAGTTAAACTTGAAGTCAGGAACATAAAGAACATTGGTGAGTTTTTGAGTTGGACTGAGGAAGCAAGAGCCTATGTGAGAAACTTCTGATACATGACCATTTGGGGTCTTACTGATGGAGATACAGTAAGAGATGTCAAGTCAACTAACTGCCCAATACAGTGTGACATGTGATGGCTAGCACCAATATCTAGAATCCAAGATTGCTTATTGCTAAAAGAAGAAAGGTAGCATTGTATACCTGCCATGTTAGCATTAATATCATTCAAAGGAGAAGGTGGGGTGTCCTTGTGCAACAGCTTCAAGATTTTAGCATATTGCTCTTTCGTGAAAAATGCTGATGACTTAGATGAATCTGATGTTGAGGAAATTCTATTGGTGTGAGTATCTGTCTGATCAGAGGAAGTGACATTGTGAGCAGCGGATGATGGTTGATATTGTCCTTTCTTCTTCGTGAACTTAAAATCAGGGGGATATCCAATCAACCGATAGCAATTCTCCTTCTTGTGGCCTTTGGCATTACAATGCTCACACACCAAATTCCAGTTTTTTTTTTGACTTGGTTGATTGATGTGAAGATGAGAACAATACAGTAGTTTCTAAAGGTGTATCAGCTGGTGAAAATGTGTTGATGTTCCTCTGACTTTCTTAAGTGATTAACATAGAATAGGCCTGATTAATTGATGGTAAAGGAGTCATCATCAAAATTTGTCCTCGGGCTTAAATGTATGTCTCATTCAATCCCATCAGAAACCGAAGTAGTCTCTGATTTTGCATGTGATCAACATATGATTTGGACATAGCACAGTCGCATGAAGGTAGTTGGATGATTAAGGAGTATTCATCCCATAGCAACTTCAATCGAGTGAAATATGCTGATATTGATAAACTGCCTTGTGTAAGAGTGACAATGTCTCTGTGTAATTGAAAAATTATTGACCCATTGATTTTATCAAAACGTTCTTGTAAATCCTTCCAAACTAAGTGAGCATTAGACGCATACACAATACCACTTAATAGTTCTTTAGTTACAGAATTCATGATCCAAGACAATACAATGGCATTACACCTATCCCACTGCTGATGCATGCTTGCGGAAACTGAAGTTCTGGTGCATGATCCATCTATAAGTCCTAGTTTATTTTTTGCTAACAAGGCTATTCTCATTGACCTACTCCAAAGAGAGTAATTATCCACACCAGTTAATTGAAAAGATACAAGGATTGAACCTGGTGTATCAGAAGGATGCAAGAACAGAGGATGATTGAAGTCAATTGCATCTGATGAACGTGTGTTCTGAGCTTTAGTTGAGCTTTCTCCTTCAGTTGCCATGAGTTTGATTTTGAATGAAAAATCAGGAATCAAAGATCGGGATTCACTTAGGTTAATGAATCAGAAGTAAAACTGTAACCTTCAGAAATGTGAATCGAATGAATCAAGACTGATTCCTGATTCAGTTGAGAAGAAAGCGAATTGAAATGGAGATGATTCGAAGATTTAAAGAAATCAAGTATTCTGGCCCCTTATCAAAGCTCTGATACCATGTTGAGATTTGAGAGAAAAAGCTGTTGAACAAACTTGAAGAAAAGAAGAACAGAATTCCTCATATTATTATCGTGATTCTGTACAACTTATATATATACACATGCATAGTTTTTCTGTTTATTTAGAAAGTAACTAACTTACTAATCTAACTAATTCTAACTAATTATTCTAATTCTGACGTTTAACAAACTTAAGTTGACTAAACTGCCACGTAACAATCCTGGCCAACTTGCCCTTCAACAGGTTGCACTATCCTCCATTGTCATTTGGTAGATATAGATTTGGTGGGCAAAGGTTGGTGGCCGTGACAAAGAGAGATGGTTGTCCAGGCTTGCACCACTGAGGGTTATTGCTACATTTGATCTCATAACAAGCACCGCAAATTTGGTCATTGTTAAACAAAGCTTTACTCAATGCTGCTGTACCCATGCCATAGCCTTGTTTAGCTACATCTCCATAACCACAAGCCCCACCTGTAATCATATATATGTTTTTACGTCATGAGGTTTATGAATAATGCAGATAGTCAAGTCAAAACTAACAACAAATGTATAACAAATTTCATATCAAACCATGAATTACTAATTATAATAGGTCTAGGAATCTAGTAATTAGACATGCTTTTCATANGGGCTTATAATGCTAACAGTCTCTCTTTTGTTTATATTTTACCTATTTGGTTCAATAATAAAAGCTTTCAAACACTAAGTTGGATGAGCACCAGATTAGTAGGCAGTCTGTTGAAGTTGATTAACCTGCTGATTTCATAATTTTTGTTTCTTGATGCATAAATAGATGTTAATACCTTTAATATTCTCATAACAATACATAATAATAATACCATATTCTTGTGCAGAAATGGAGAAAATTCCTTTGAAAGGGAGGAAGGCATGGCTTCTTTCATAGTCAGCGAGGTTGACGAGAAAGAAAATTCTGAGAAGTATGATATTTATGACAATCCTTGATATATTATTTTTCTTATATAAAGTACTTCAATTTTGAAACTTCTGTGTATTTGGCTTGTGCAGTGGGGAAATTTTCATGCAACAGCAATCGGGAAAGGTTTCTAAAAGAAAGAGAAGACTTTTTCTCAGTGATGAGTGGAACATGAAAATCTCGGAACTCTATGAAAAGTAGGTTTAGCTTCAAGTCTATCTTTTACCATGGAAGGCATTTTCCTAAAAAATTATCTCAGTACCATATATATATATATATATGTATATATATATATATATATATTTTAAAATCACCACTGGTCATATTTTACATTAATGAGTTGATTGTGTGATTGTTTTTTATCTCACTTCTAAGGTTAAGATATGCTTATATTTTGTCATATTCTTACTTTAATATTAGTTTAGTAATTTCACTATTGCCTGCACTGCATCTGTTTTGATAATTATGGTTGTTGTAGATTCAAAGATGATCAGAACTGTAGTCATCTTATAGCGGAATCCCTAGACGCTGATGGTAAAGCTTCAGCTGCTCAAGTTTCCAACAAGCTTAAGCAACTAGGATTTAAAGTTCCATCAAAGAAAAGGGTGCGCCATACTGGTGGTACTTTTACTGCTGGTCCTGATGAACCTGGCGAAGAACAAAAAGCTGTTGAAACCGAAAATAATGTTCACAACTCAAATGACCCAGAAGGAAGTCTTCTGAGGCAACCTTTGTCAGTACTTTACTAATTTCTTAATGTTTTATATCATCTTTTATGAGTTGCCAAGATACTCTTCTTTTAGTGTAAGAATGAGACACACTTGAACTGAAGTTATGAATTTGGAAGAACATATTTCATGGTGAAATCCTAGATAATGGATTTTTGCATTTTATTAATGTTTTAATTGTTTTGACAGGAACACTAAAAAAAGAGTGCGTGATTTCAACAGTGATCAAGAGGCTATGATTAAAGTTTTATTTGAACGGTGAGGATAAACTAAATTTCTTTTACTCATACAGGCCTCCTATCCTTGATGTGAGTCCCAAGATCTTTTGTTCAACTGTTTGAAATCTTACTGGCTTAACTAGTTAGTATCCACATAAACTGATTTCTTCTTTGTCCACTGGGTAATCCTTAAACAATTGGGTAGGTTGGCACTATAACCATCCTTGTTTATGTCTTAAATATACCTCAAAAGAATCACTCTCAGCTTGGGGGTTAACTTCATTATATGTTAAAGAAATAATTAATTTGGGTTTTTCACTGGACAGGTACAAATGTCATAAGAGGTGTAGCTATATGATTGCAAATGCGTTGGATGGTGAGAAAAAGTTCACCGCTGCCCAGGTCTCCCGTAAACTCAAGCATCTTGGTTTGCGTCCTCCTCAACAGAAGAGGTCTGAAGCCCAAATGCACTTGAGAGATGAAGAACTCAATGACTCTTCTATTGTTGAAGCACATGATTCGGACAAAGAAACATTGCTATCACTCAGGAATAGGTAGTTAGATATTCATATTTTTTAATATCAAGGTGTTTTTGAGTATTGGCTTTTGATCTTATGCTAACCATGTTACTCATTTGGATCTGTTTTCGATGGTCTTTGATTTCCAGCATGCATTTGCTTTTAGATATTTGGTAGATGGTGATGTATGAGTTTGGAATTTTGACATAACTGGTAGACTTACAAGTCACCACTTTCATGTTTTCTTACTCGATCTTGTCCCGACCTTATCATACTGTAGCTTTTCTTTGAGCTTATTTCCATTCATTCCATTTGGAGTCAGGTCTTTTATTGCGTGAAAGTCCATTAGTTTCTTATCTTCTAGTTGCATCTACTTAAATTGAATATACGGCTTTCATCTGGCAGTGTGTTTAAATTGAGGTGTATGGTCTGGTAGAAGTTAGAAATACTTCTTTGTTAAACGTGATACCATATGGTCATTACATCCGAGGTATTACGAATGCATTTATTTATGACTTTTGATTTTTTGTCTTATTGTTCATCTATCTATGCATCATTTTTCAGCTCCATTTACTGTGAACATGTTTCTTTTCAGACTGCTTGCATTTAGTACAATTGAGAATACATTATATTACATTCACCTTACAGATTTCTCTTCTTAATGGTCTAATGCTATTTTGCAGAACTTTCTCTTATAATATAGTCAATCATGTAATGCTCAGAAACACCTATTCATTGTGTTCAGATTCTTTTTTGAAATTTAGTGGGCATATATTTAGCAAAATCCATAATGGAAGTATTTATTCATTTATATGTGTGTTTATATTTCCATGTATTCAAGGCATTTTTTATTCATTGTATGAAATTCACTTCCAAATAGTGGTAGAGTTTCTGATGTTGCAAAGCATAGGAGACTTGAAGTTCATTTATCTAATTAATCTTTGTACTTCTAGGCGCAAAAGGAAAGTAAGCAATGATTGTGGTGGCGGGTTGTCTGTTGAGGGATCGCAAGAAATAGATATGCAAGGAAAACTATCAGATGATTCTGATGATGAAACCTTAAGCTCTGTTTTCAAGTAAGTTGTTCTCTCTCTCTTTCACTCAATCTATTGTTAGATTAATGGAGCTATATATGTAACTATGGTGTTAAGTTTTTTCATGTTCTGTAAAATCCATAATGCAAGTAATTTTTTCATATGTGTGTTTATATTTCCAAGTATTTAAGGCATATTTTATTCATTGTATGAAATTACTTTCACATAGTGGTAGAGTTTCTGTTGTTGCAAAGCATAGGATTCATTATGTAATTAACCTTTGAACTTTTAGGCGTAGATGCAATGATGGTGGCAGCGAGTTGTTTGGTGAGGGATTGTGATAGGAACCCACTCCAATAACTCAACAATTTGGGCTGGGCCATGGGTCTTTCATGGGCTTGGGTAGAACTCTCCTTGGAAAACCGGCTTGCCAAGGGAAGGTGCCCAAGCCTTTATAACCCACATGCCCACCCTTTTCCCTTTCAATGTGGGATCCCAACAGATTGCAAGGAAATCTGTCAGATGATTCTGATGATAAAACTTTAAGCTCTGTTTTCAAGTAAGTTGTTCTCTCTCTCTCTCACCAAATCCATTATTAGATTAATGGACCTATATTAGGTAATTATTGTGTTTATTTTTTTTCGGTTTTTTTCTCTTTTCTATTGCAATAAAATTTTTAGTCATTAATGGGTATATAATTATTTACTGTTTTGTTGATAAAACATGACTCAACATCGAACAAAATAAACTGCAGAAACTGCTTATCCTTAGTTCATTTTTTTACTTGATTTATGTATTATTATGATATTATCAATGGTACATCTGCAGATTTTTTTTTTTTCATTTTTTATCATTGTTCTTCTAGGTTACAGTGTTCATATCATTGATGATAATGAAATGCATGAATTCATAAATGCAAGTCTTCTTAACTTTCTTTCCATTTACCTAAGAAACATAGTATGTCAGTGGATTGTTTTGAATTTAGTAAATTCATATGTATTTCTTTTGCTATCTTGTTGTTACTGATATGCAGAGCCAGAGTTACCTGTATAATGTCTGCCTTAGCGAAGTTTCCATATTTGAACATAATTATATTATTATTGGTATCCTATGAATTTTTTTATTAGATCATCATTGTCATAGCTTGTTGGACACAGGAAGTCTAGGAAGCTCCATTCAAAACAGAAGGATGACAGGCTGGAAACAATACAGGTTGAGAAGACAAATGAAGATGCTGGAAATGGTTGTACTACAAATGCTATGGGAAGGTACGTTACCCATAGTTCAATCTCGCTTATAAACTAAAGAACAGGAAAAGCAACAATCCCTAATCTAAGTGAGTTGGACACTTGGACCTTAAGGAAAAAAATTGTTATCCTTTTCATATTACTTGATATGAATAAAGCAATAATTGTTTGTTGAAGAATAGATAACTTCAGATGAGATGCTGTTATCATTGTCTAGTGATTATATTAGGTTGACCTTGATTTTCTCTTTCGAAGGGATAGTTGGAATCAATCTAGTCGAATGGATATTGCGGAAACCAATCAAGATATCTCTATTAAGCATGCCAACCAGGAAGGCACTTCAGTTTCTGAAATGAACGGCTCTAATATTTCAAGTTTTTCACCTGTCAATAATGCTGATGATTTGCCACATCAACTCATGGATGATGAGTTGGCAGATTCAGCCTATGATGTTGCTGCTGGTGAAATACTGAGTAGTGCTGTAAGTAGAAGGAAGCTGAGGATGGTAATGGATCCTGAGGATGAGGACTAAGATGTAAGCATGATCAGGTTTTTTCTCTCATAACGCTTTTAACTATCATATTCAATTTGACAAATCATAAGTAGCTGTTACCTTCCATATAAAGAATTGGGTTGTTTTTAGATTCACTCTAGTCATCATTGCTGGCATTGCAATCTTTGAATTTGCAATGCCAAACACCAGTTCAGTTTTCAACCGCTTCTCTTTTGAAAGTTTTTTTATATTCGACTAATGGGTGTTGTGTCGCCAATTGTACCTGGAGGTGATCATGCCTTCTGCTGGTTTCAGCTTGCATTATATTTTGGGAGAGCTTAAATTGTGTATTATATTTAAACAGATATTGTAAGGGACAAAGGGTGCTCAGCAGGATTGTATACTTGTAGGAGCAGATACGGGTTTATAGGATTTTAGCATGCTGTGCCAAAGCTGGTGATGTAAATTTTGATTATTTAATGATTTGTAAATGCTTTCTTGTACATAAAGGAATTCCTAATAGATTCCAATACAAGTCTTGTTAATTTGCAATCAAAGATAATTACTTTATTTATGTGTAAATGTTATGCTTTCTTGTACATAAAGTAATGTTATGCAATCAAAGATAATTATATTTATGTACAATACAAGTCTTTTTCAAGTCAGGCTTTTAATAGCTTTGGCGTTTTCTTTATTTATGTGTAAATGTTATGAAGTCATAATATATAATCATCTACAAATTACCGTCTTTTGTGCATATGTACATCATGATTAATCTCGTCATTTATCATATCCAACTCAAGATGTAGAGTTCAAAGATTTCAAACAATGAAACTTTAATTTAATTGTACTTTATATATATATATATATTTCGTTGGGCTCTTTTTGAATAACTTATGTGGATCATTTCCATGCTTTATTCAAATGAATGGTTTGGTGTGTTCTGATGGTTATTTATGTCTAACCTAGTACTGTATGTTCTTGTTCCAGACATCAATGCTTTCTTTAATCATCGTTGTGCTAACTATGAAGGAAAGGTCCGTTGGTATTCTTCATTTTGTTACACTTTGTGCATGCATCAGGATTCTTAGAGAGATGCAATTCAATGCCTACCCTAATGTGGTGAGCTGGTTCTACACTGTCTCAAGTCTCAAATAACTTTCGAAGAAAACATGAAATCTAGATTTTCCTCTGTTTATTCCATATGAGTGATTTTAACCTTTATTTCTATATTTTTTTTATATTAAAATTTTATCAACAAATTCTGTGGTGTTGCTTATGTGAGACATGGTTTGGCTTTTCTGGTTTCTATAATCAAGTCCCACATGTTTTGATCAGTGTTGAGGACTTGATGCTAGATGTTCCAATAATGTAGACCGAAAATTTATTTTCCAGCTTTCAACAAATTATTATTTTTACACTATCTTATATATTTTATCCCTTTCCGTAGTAGAAGTTCAAATATGGAACAGCAAAATAGCAAGGAGGTTTAGGATAAAATTCCTAGTTCTTCAATTTCACATCTAAGGACACTGATTTGCTAATTGATGAAGCTATCTGCTTCTATATATTTTTATTCAGTATTTTGCAGTCTCAGTAATACCCTTTTGGTTAGTTATAATTAAAGGTGAAATTGGTACATGAATACAACTTCAAGCCCGAAAGATTAGTTGAGGTGTGCACAATCTGACCCGAACACCCCCTCTTACTAAAAAATAAAAAAAAGGGTATGTGAATATAAAGGTGTTCTTCCCAAAGTGTTGGTCAATGTGTGGCAGGTATGTCTGCTTGTTTTGGCCTGCTCATCACTAGAATTTCGCCTAATTTCATGGTCTGCCATCCTCATTGAACCGTGAACGTGTTTTTTTAGTCTTCATGATATCAAGAAAGCATTACTTTACATATCAATGCAGTTACTGAGAATTTGCATGTAACTGAGAGTGTTTGATTTTCAGAATTATGTTGACATGGAAAGGAAAGAAATATGAATACAAATATAATATGAGGATACTCAAAAACGCCGAAGCAAGCATTAATTGTTATCATACAGAAATTTGTTGATAACATTATAATTTCATACCAGAAAGTCACATTTTACTGGGAAGAAAGAAAGCCATGAAACATAAAACTGCGTAAGAGAAAGTCCAGGCTCCAACTTAACGCTGGCCAGCTTGACTTTTAAATTTATTTTAATTTCAACTTGGAATCAACACGTACTTTTTGGAAACCCCACAATGACTACCACAAAGTACACATCATGGGTTGGATTTTTTTTTGATCTAAAACATAGCATAAACTTCTTGCAAGGTTGATCCTGGAGGCTTAACTATTCAATAATATTAGGTCTCAATCTCATAACTTTAGACGTTACAGTTTGTTATTGGTTAGTTCGCAAATAGTTAGAAACCCATACAGTTAAACGGGATCTATTTGCGAGTTAACTAATGACGAGTTGTCACATCAGGGGTTATAAAAAAAAGTTGTGTAATTAAGTTGTCGATCTAATAGTACTCTTAACTATACATCACTAAAGACTTTATTAATGGAAAACACATTTGGTAACTGCTATTAAGATTATATATTATATAAAGAAAGTTTATGATAACCATCCCATCCCTCTTTTATTTTGATTCCATGCTAACCAACCCTACAGGCTTTTGTCGTAAGCTAGTCAAAAGATGGTGATTAACATTCAAATATTTACACTTTATATGTAATTTAAATTAATACTCGTAATAGATTGGTAAATCTAATAGGGCTGAACATACTATTAATTTAGACATTAGTTTTGAGGGATTAATAGTAATGGATAGGTATATATGTATACCAAGTTACCAACCCACTTCATATTTTTTGCAATGCATGGGTCCATATGATCCCAAAGTTATTAAGAACTCAATATCCTCAATAATATTAAGTCTAGCTTAAAATAATGTTATATTCATTCTTTCTAATTATGTCATCTCTCCCTTCGATTTTTCCAAAAGGAACGAAATCATGTAAAGCCCCTATTGTTTGCTAATTTAGAATTGCACATAGTGACTGTTTGTAACTTAAGTTTTGAATTGGTTTCAGATTTGATGTTACCAAAAATCAATTGCATTGTTGAATTCAAAAAAGGTATTTAACTCATGTTTAGACCATCATCTTTGTTTATTGTCTGCTTAATGATTAGTCATTTCTCTATTGGTGCGGAAGCTACCTATACTGGTAGCTTCGATCAGGTAATCGGATCATAAATATGATTAATCAATGATCTATGAAAAGACATCATAATATTAATAGAAATTTGATAATATTTTCTTATTTGCTCCTGTTTTAACATGATTGAATGACCTTTGTTACATTACATATCAAATGATATTTAAAAAAAGAAAAGTGAAAACAGACATGATCGGGTATAGGTTTTGTATTCTCTTACCCATTTACATTCTCGACCCGTTTGACCCGTCCCCATACTCATCTTTACTCGTACTTGCCCATCTACTAGGTCCAACTATGATCCCTTATTAGAATAATAGTCGTTAAATTTTTTTATTTATACCATATATCAATAAGTTTTAGTTTATTCTTTTAATCAAATTCAAGTATATTCATAATATAGCTGTGATTGTACTTAGTTTTATTTTGTACAAAAACTTTATATAATATTGATTAGATAATCATTTTAATTTTCTAATGATTTTTAAAAAAATTGAAGGAAAATAATGTAGAATTAACATGATTTTAATTAGTGTTAAATTTTCAACCAAATAAGAATTTGATATCATTCACCATAATGTATCTCTAATTAATACAGTCGGATCGCCAACGTGTATTCACATTGTATTTTTTTTTTTTTTGAACTGTGGAAACTGCTTATCCTTGAGCAAAATGTGTGTACGATTGAGCAAGAAAGTCCATTTTCCAAGTCTATTGTCGATTGATCCACAAAAGCAAGACTTTGTTGTTAAAACACGTTGATAATTACTTTATATATCAATGCAGTAACTGAGAAATTGCATATAATTGAGAGTGTTTGATTTGGAGAATTATGTTGACATGGAAAGGAAAGAAATATGAATACAAATGTAATATGAGGATACTCAAAAACACCGAAGCAAGCATTAATTATTATCATACAGAATTTTGTTGATAACAGTACAATTTCATTCCAGAAAGTCACATTTTACTGGGGAAGAAAGAAAGCCATGAAACATAAAACCACGTAAGAGGAAGACAAAGCTCTAACTTAACTATTTAATTTATTTTAAGAGAAATGATACACCCACAATCTTTTTCTCACAACCTCGATGTAAAATCTTACAATTGGTTAACCATAATTTATTAGGTAGAATCCAAATGAGACTTATTATAAACAGATCAATTATGAGTTGTCACGTCAGAATTGTGAGAAAAAGTTTGTGAAAAGAGATGGTGGGTGTAGCATTTGTCTTATTTTAATTTCAATTGGGAATTAACACATACTTTTTGGAAACCCCACAATGACTATCACAAAGCATGCATCATGGGTTATTAAGAGCTCAATATCCTCAATAATATTAAGTCTAGCTTAAAATGAAATTATATTCATTCTTTCTAATTATATCATCTCTCCCTTTAATTTTTCCAAAAGGAACGAAATCATGTATGCCAGCAAAAGGGCTTTTGTTCAAGTCAAAAGGATATGATTATATTGATTGTACAAATATATTGCACTTCATATTTTCAAAAGTTTGAATTTTATACTATTATCAACCAACATGAGTTGTGATATCATTTCACACAGCAAAATTATGAAAATGAACATTGCCAGATTACTTAATGCATCGTGAATCATGCTCTACGTGCATAAGACGATCTGTTAGAAAATAGGAAAAGCTAAACAAAAGATTAATATGATGACAATAAAATATAATTTTATCAAACACCAGCAAATCCCTTTTCCAAAAGTTTGTGGACCTGACCGAAGACTCCGTTAATGGAAAACACATGGCAATATACATGCAGAAGTATGCAATGGGTCTGAGCTAATCTTCAGAGATAATAGCTCATTGTTACGCAGTGCTTTTTCTAGTTGATGATGATGATGGCTATGTCAGGTGGAAGGTTCCTTCAACATCTACTTCTAGCTGTTTTGATTTTGTTCCTTTTCCAGCAAAGAGTTGCGGATTCTGACGTTATGAGTTGCAGAGATGACGAAAGAGAAGCACTACTCGTATTTAAACAAGGCTTGGTGGGTGACGATGGCTTTCTTTCTTCTTGGGGAAGTGAAGATGATAAAAAAAATTGTTGTGAATGGAGAGGAATCCAATGTCGTCAAACGGGCCATGTGCAAAGACTCGAACTTAGGGGCACCAGAGATCTCAATGCGCCATTGGAAGGTAAACTTAACGCGTCTTTACTTAAACTGCACCATTTAAGCCATTTGGACCTCAGTTACAATTATTTTAGTGGGAGCCCAATCCCTGAGTCCATTGCTTCCCTCACCAAATTGACGCATCTTGGTCTCTCTAACGCTGGTTTTAAAGGACAAATTCCCTACCGGCTGGGAAACCTTTCAAGGCTACAACTTCTTGATCTCAGCGGTAATGATGGTTTATATAACGCTGGAAACATTGAGTGGCTTTCCCATCTTTCTTCTTTAAGATATCTTGACTTAAGTGGCAGCGATCTTCGTGAATCAAATGATTGGTTTCAAGTCATTAACAAGCTCCCATTCCTCACAGAATTATCTGTAGTTTGGTGTAATCTTCCACAAATTATGCCTTGGGCTCCCCTAAAAGTCAATGCTACTGCATCTTTTGTGAGCCTTGATCTAACTGGCAACCATGTAACCAATTCTATATACCCTTGGTTGTTCAATGTCAGTAGCAATCTTAACCAACTTTCCCTCGATTTTAACCTTTTACATGGTTCAATTCCTGAAGCTTTCGGAAATTACATGACTTCTCTTACCAGTCTCTCCCTTAAGTCCAATGACGTAGAAGGTGGCTTTCCAAAGTGCATCGGAAATATGAGTTGTCTGGATACGTTAGAGTTATCTTCCAACAATCTGACAGGACAACTCTCTGGGTTCTTTAAAAATCTATCTGGTGGATGTACAGAGAAGAAGTTGGAGTTTTTGTATTTATGGGGTAACAAAATCACGGGATCTGTGCCCAATTTTACAAGATTTTCATCCTTAATAGATTTAGGACTTGGACAAAATCAATTAAGCGGAACCATTCCCAAAAGCATCGGACAAATGTTTGAGCTTTAATTTTTAGATCTTGGTGACAACTCCTTGAAAGGTGTCATTTCTGAAGACTTTTTCTTAAATCTCTCTAAATTAGATAGTTTGAACTTGTCTCATAACTCTCTTTTTTTGGAAATTAGCGATGATTGGGTTCCTCCTTTTCAACATATTTCGTATTTATCTCTTGCCTCTTGCAAAATGGGGCCTCATTTTCCAAAATGGTTCAGAAATTTGGAATCACATGGTCAACTTCTCCTTTTACTTGATATCTCGAATGCTGGAATCTCAGATACAATGCCTAATTGGATGTAGGATGTATTAAATTCAGCATTCCGATTCAACATCTCATACAACAATATCAAGGGCAATCTCCCAGATTTTTCTTTACGAGATCCGGTTCGAGATTCCATAATAGATATGAGCTCAAATCATCTTAAGGGACCAATTTTGTCACTCCCTGCGGGTGCAACTCACATTAATCTTTCTGGAAATAAATTTTCAGGATCAAGTTCTTTCATATGTTCTGCTTTTGCCGAATATTTGACCTATCTTGACCTCTCTAATAACCTACTCTCGGGAATGCTTCCGGATTGTTGGATAAAATTTGAAGAGTTGGTTGTTCTTAATGTGGCAAGTAATGGCTTCTCCGGAAAAATTCCACCCTCAATGGGCTCCCTAGGTAGTATTGTAACATTGAGATTGAGCAATAATAACTTCTTTGGAGAGTTACCAATTTTGAGCAATTGCACCCGGTTGAGAATTTTAGATCTTCAGGATAATGCATTATCTGGAAAGATACCTGAGTGGATTGGGGAGAGGCTACCAAGTTTGCTAGTTCTTAGTCTGGAATCTAACAAATTAAATGGGAGTATACCTTTCCAATTATGCCGTCTAGCAAATATTCAAATCTTAGACCTTTCCTTGAACAGTATTTCTGGAAATATACCCCCGTGTTTCAACAATTTCACAGCTTTGTCTGAAGAAAGGAGTTCACATGCTGCCATAACCTATGAATTCGATTTCAATCTCTATGGAGAAATACATTATGTTGACAGTGCATGGTTGACATGGAAAGGAAGTAAATATGAGTACAAAAACACTTTGGGGTTAGTCAAGAGCCTCGACCTTTCCGATAATAAATTGGATGGAACAGTTCCTGAAGAGATTATGAGTCTAGTAGGATTGATTGCCTTGAATCTTTCCAAAAACAATTTCAGTGGAACAATTCCTCCCAAGATTGGTCAGTTAAAATCATTGGATTTCCTAGATCTATCAAGAAATCGATTTTCTGGTGAAATTCCATCAAGCCTTTCTCTAATAAACCGCCTAAGTGTTATGGACTTGTCAGACAACAACTTTTCAGGCAAAATTCCAACAGGCACTCAACTTCAGAGTTTCAATGCCTCAGTGTATGCAGGGAATCCGGAACTGTGTGGCCTCCCACTCCCAAAAAAATGTCTCGGAGAAGAACCGACCCAAGGTCCAGCTACTATTGACATTCCAGAAGATGAGATCATAACCCTTGGGTTTTACATAAGTTTGGCCCTCGGTTTCATTGCAGGGTTTTGGGGTGTTTGTGGCAGTCTAGTGCTTAGTCAGTCATGGAGACATGCCTACTTCAATTTCTTGGCCGATATCAAAGATAAGATCTATGTGATAGCAACGATAAATTTTGCCAAACTGAAGCAGAGGTTTAATAACTAAATGGTAATACTTCTTTTAATACTAGCAAGTGTGTGCAAGTTATTATGTTTAACTTTATGCGTAATTTGCTTATAAATTTGTGATTTGGACAAGGAATTTATGGAAGTCAATTTTTGTCTCCTTCTCTAAACGCGCAATGATTTACGTAGATCAGTTTAACTAATAATGTTGTGAGAATGTCTTTAACATCAATGTTAAGACTTAAGAGCGCTTCCAAATAAATTCTAAAACGTCTTTGGTATTATATGTGCTTATTATGGTCTACACTACGAGATTGAGCTTCCTCAAATGTGTTTGGTGTTGTTTCAAAAGTTAAGACTAAATATTTTGTTTTTTTATCGTAAAAGTTATACATGATTATACAAATAATACTGTATTTTCTAATACAAATTTTTAGGGTACAAAATAATTCGAAGAGTAGTATAATAACAATATATATGTATATAAAAATTATATCTAGTAATAATTATATGTTTAGTTTTTGTTTTCCTTTCAGTTGAATGTTATTTCTCAAAGTAATGCATTTTTTTCTTTTCCCAGGCTCTGGCAGCAGCTATTATGTGTCTGTGATGACATTCTCTCCAGCTAATTATGTAGTTCATATTATGTAATGTTAGATTTTTCTTATGGAAAATAAAGAAAATGAGAATGTTACCATCTTATAAGATCAATGAATTCCAGTAATTACTAGTTAATATTGTCAGCACTCAAAACTCTTCAAATTACGTTATTGTTTTGCAAGTTTTTTGATAATTATTTATCCGAATTGCCTAAAAATTATAAGAGTTTGGAGTTTTTGATCATGCAGTGATATGGGTACAGGTACTCCAATTAATTCATGTTTATTGTTTGTGTTTAATTTTGTATTTATTTTATATTTTTATGAAAAATCTTTTTCAGATAAACAAATTGTTTGAAATACTCTTTGAAGTTTGAAAAGTCACTTGTTTTACAATATCCTACTTCAACGCGGGAACATCTTCTACAATCAATTAAATTGGTTCCCTCAGCAAATTGACTCACCTTTGTCTCCATCAATTAAATTGGCGCCACAAGAGCCCAACTCCAGCAAATTGACTCACAATAGATGATCGTATTTTGGTCTTAAATGCAGGTGATTACAGATAATTTGTTTTTGTTTTTATATTTATTTATAATTTATTCAGATGAGCTTGTAATGATAATTTTCTCACTTGGCATTTTGCAGTGAAGGTTTTGGTGTTTTTGACTATGCCCTCTATGGGGTTTGAAGTCTTCAATTACACGGTCCCGGTGAAGTGATTGTATCACTTCTTGAGGGTCCTTAGAAAATTTGGAAATGTGACCGAGTTGACAAAGTATTACCAATTTTATTGTTAAATAGCAACTAATGCTCATCATGTCTCTGCTTATATGTTTAATTTTTGTGAATTATGTTGATTTGTTTTATCTATTGTGATTCTTATTGTTAATGGATAGTTATAAATGTATAAAGTGAAGCATTCACGGAGGATGACTGGAAGTTGGTACAATTAGTTGAGACTTTATTCCGCAATGTTCTTGCTGTCCAAGATATTCCGCTGCAGCAGAAGGCTGGGGGTTCTGCTAGTCAATTCATATCCTTGAGAGATGGATTTCTGGAACTTTTGTTGAATGAGAATGTGATGGACATAATTCTTGTGATAACTCTGCATGTTGGTGGTTCTTCTGGCTCTTTTGACGGGATATCTTGCTTTTACTGGAAATTTTTCATTACATATTTATGAGTCAAGATCCTGAATTCGTTGCCTCTGCTCATCATAAGGGTTCCAAGGTGGACTACTTTATGTCCCTCTTTAACTTTTTGGCAAACGGGGAAGGTTAGACTGAATTAGCTAGGACTTTTTACGCGATAGATGGGTGGAGACACGAAGGATGCTCTTGATAGTCTCAAATCACTAATAGCAGAGGAAGACGAGAAAAGAAGGCTTTCAAGACTAAACCAGAAAATGGTTCGTCATTCACAATTTAGTGGACATTTACAAGGCTTACCATGGTATGAAATTTGACTTAATACCAGTGTTTATGAAGAATTCTGTACAGGATTTACTAACACTAGCAAATTTTCTTTTAAAAAAGGATGGTCTAAAAGCAGTGATAAAGGGGAACCCGGCTTCTGCTTCTCAGAACCCTGTGCTTAAACCTCATAAAGGTGGTAAGTGTGTAAGTAATAGGATTGTGTGGGACCATGGAAGCTTACCTTTGACGAAGGATACTATTTTAGGGTTGCTACATGATCTTGTGGACCAGTTTCTATCAGGGAGTTACAATGGTATAAATGTGGAATCTCTGTGCTTACATTCTTACACTTTTTTCTTCTCCATGGTGTTATTGCTAATATTCAGATCTAAACCAAACGTGTATCAGTTTTGAAGCAGTCAATCCGTGAGGATATTGAAAAGGAGCATCAAGCAATACAGACCAGTGATATCATTATTTTCTTTCGAGTTGCTCAGCTCGTTACTTCTTTTCAATATCACAAGATTGTTTGTTCTAAGGTGAGGGAGAAGGGTACTCATATTTCTAGTTTTTGAATCTTCTAAGCTGAGGAGGATTCACTGTAGTTTTAGGAGCTGCTAGCTCACAACAGTCTTATTTTAATTTCCTTAACAAGAAAATATTCTTTGGTTAAATTTTATTGATATGGTGTTGACTTGATTTGGATGTTAGTGAAAGTTGAAAATGAATCTGTGACCTTGATCCCAAGATGTGCTCTCATTTTATTTTCTTCTTTATGTGACTAATTGTCCTTGAAAAGTTTTAGTTGGCTTTTTAATTATAGTTAGCGTTCATTCAATAACTGTTGGTGTGAATATTTTTTATTTAACAGCTCAATGCAGAAAGAGACACATCTGAAGCTTCCACTATAGAATGTCCTGACAACACTTTGTTTAAAGGCAAACTCTGTGGAGCTTTTGTCTACAATGGACGAATCAATGTTTCAGTTGGTCATTTCAAGATGGCTTAGTTCATTTGATGGCTTGAAGGAAACAAAAAACTATAAGTTTCTATCTTCCGCAGGTTCTCTTATAAAAAATATGGTGATATATACTTCCTGGTTGACTAAAGTTCTTAATCGTTGCATCTCTAAGTTCCTTGTCCTTGCTTTACAAGACATTCTTGATATCACTTAGGCTACCATATATGCCTTTAGTTTGACTTAGATTGTGCGCTAAAAGTATGTAAAATTTCTGCATGATTTTACCATTCCAAGTTAGAGTTGTTATTTGATATTAGATTTGTGTTAACACCTTTTATTTTTAACTGTTTGAAGTCTTTTGTATGCATTTTTTCTGTTGATCGTTGTTTTGTGGACAAAGGAATTTGTATAAAAATGAAATTTTCATTTTTCATTTCCTATATTTTATTCAGAACTTGTGTAAGGAAGTTTACGCAAATTCTGGATAAAATGATGATGCTCTTTGTTTTATTTCACATATTAAGAAGTGAGCTTTTGAAGTTTCATTGTATTATAGAATTCTGGTCTAGCATCCAACATTCGATACTTGAAATTTCTAGAAAGAAAATTCTTGAGCAGGCATACAGTAGTTATCATTGTTATTTTTTCTTTAATGTATATTAGATGAATCATGACTGCATAAATGTTATTGTTTTGTCAAGCTATTAAGAAGTTGAAAAATGCATTGGTTGTTGCATACAAAAAAACTTGCTATCAATAGATATCTTCCTTCTAACTAGCCTAACAGGTTTCTAGAAAAACCTGGTGTAGTTGAACCTTTTCATTTGTCGCAAGATCAAACAGACTATGTCTTAAAAGTTTGCAAAGTGAAGTTTCACTTATTGCACATTCATACATTGCACATATTGCTATAAGTTTTTATGGTGAGGATGTTGAACATCAATCAATCTTCTGTATATAGCATCCTCCACCTTATAACAGAGAGTCTGATCACGCTGATGATCATCTTTGTTGCAGTACTGGTGATTCTATTGGTTTTTAGAGCTGGAGTATACTAAGGAAAGAGGACCATAAACAGATGTGAGAGAGAGCTGTAGAGAGAGAAAATCTGAACTAAAATTTGCTCTGTTTTTCATTCAAAAAACAGGGGTAGTTTTATACAAAACACGCGCCACTGTTCCACCTAAAGCTGCAAATTTAAAATTTAAACTAAACACACCAACTAATGCACGTACAAACATATCAAAATACATCATTTTATCAACCTAATTCACCTAAACACATCACTGAAATATTTCTTAAACAGTGACCAAAAAACAACTTCTGTATGCACAGTAGCATTTCAAACCGTGGCGCCAAAATCTTGCAACTCCCACCATGTGTTGACTTCATCATTTCCAGCAAGATATCATCATCTTCAACACTCCTCCTTGATATCATTGCTGGAAACACCAACTCTGAACTGAAGATATTCAAACTTGGCTTTGGACAATGGCTTAGTCATTATATCAGCAACCTGTTCTTCTCTATTAAAAAGAACTCCTCCTTCATTGCAGCTTCTCCATGCATCAGATTTGACTGCCTCATTGTAACTTGTTGGTTCTAACTCAACCACATTGCACCTCTCATAAATTTCAGATATTGGCTTTGTACCTCTGACTGGAACTTCATTAACTTCATCTGAATTCACTTCTTCAATCTAACTTTTGGGCATTCTATCTTGCTGGAAGCTTGGCTTGACTTTAACCTGATTTTTTTAACAGTTCCAAACAGCACATTCGTCCACCTTAACATCTCTACTAACTATGTTAGCTGAATGGTTTTGAAAAACAACCTTTCCCCACTTTACCGAGAAGTTTTTTCTTTGCATCTTAGCTCTCATTAACTCATTCCCATCACATTCTATAATGACACATGCTGAGTTTTTAAAATGAAGAGAGTAATTCCTCTCAAGCATTTGTCCTACACTAAGTAGGCTTTGACTGATTTTAGGAACAAATAAAACATCAGATATAATCTTGGTAACTGACTTGGTTTGGACAGAAACATTTCCCTTGCCTTTGACCTCCAACAGCTCTCCATTTCCCACTTTAACTTTAGACTTGTAGCTTTGATTTAAGCTCACGAAATTGGACATGTTTGGTGACATATGGTTGGTGCAACCACTGTCAATTAACCACACCTCTTGATCAAAATCAGCCACACATCCTGAAGCCATAAACAACTGCTCAAATTCTTGAGTTTGCTGTTGATTCTCTACTGCCTAGGATTGATGCTCCTACTACCCTCCTTTGTTCTTGCACACCCTTTCTACATGTCCAAACTGCTTACAAGACTTGCATTGTATGCCAGGCCTGAACCAACATCTATTTTCAGAGTGGTTGTTTTTCTTGCAGTGAGGACAAGGAGGAAAGGTTCTCAATCCTGCATTTTTTTCTCCTTCGTTGTTAACTTCCTCATTTCCCTTCTCTCCAGCATACCTCCTGTTTTGGCTTGCTATCATGGCTCCTTCATTTGAGTCTTCTTGCCTCAGCAACCTCCTCTGCTCTTGTGCTTGAAAAGCATGCACAAGTTCTGCTAAGTTGATATGGGACAGGTCTTTGGAGTCTTCAAGTGCAGAGATTTTTGCCTCAAATCTCTCAGGTAAACTGACCAAAACCTTCTCTACTATCCTTTTGTCAGTCAATTCTTCATCAAGTAGCTTAATCTTGTTCACCACATTCATCAGCCTATCCACATACTCCTCGACAGACTCAGCCTCTTGCATCTTAAGCATCTCAAATTCTATTCTTAGGTTTAGAATTTGCATGTTGCATGTCATATTGCTGCCCCCAAACTCCTCCTTAAGCTTATCCCAAGCCTTTTTAGGAGTTTCACACGCCATAATCCAGGTGAAGACTTGGTCTGTCACTGCTGAGTGTATGTAAGTGTTGGTATTTGGCTGGAGAACTCCAAGAAAGAAAAGGAGAAAAAATGCTGAAAGTGAACTGCTATATTTCATTATACTGTAACTTGCAATATATAAACATCAAAGGCTTACTGTTTTACCAACTATAACAACCATTCAGACTTTAAAATTCAAAAACGAAGTTGGTAACTTAATACACATTTATCTTACACTGATTACACCTAAACATGACACAAAAAATTAACAACTCCAGCACAGTCACAGCAGCTTCAATTTCGGCAGAAAAGGGCGAATGCATCTGCTGCTTGGCACCAAATACTCATTCAAAAGTAAACTGACTTAACTGAATTTTCCAGCAAATTATCAATGCTTCAACACTCCTCGATAATTTTGCTGGAAACACCAAGTCTGATCCTGAAGCTTTCAAACTTGGTTTTAGATAATCCCTTAGTTAGGATGTCAGCCACTTGATCATCACCATTGCAATGGACCAGTTTCACTTCTCCTTCCTGCTCAGCTTCTCTCACTGCATGGAACTTGATCTTTATGTGTTTAGTTCTCCCATGATGGACTGGATTCTTAGCCATAGCGACAGCCGATTAATTATCACACATTATCACAGTAGGATGCTTTTATTTCAGCTTCAAATCTTCCAAGATTTTTCTCAGCCAGACAGCCTGATTCACAGCAGCTGCAGCTAAAATGTACTCTGCCTCTACTGTGGATTGTGCAACCGTTTCTTGCTTCTTTGACATCCAGCAGATTGCACCATGGTTCAGGAAGAAAGTATACCCTGCAATGCTTTTCATGTCCTCCACTAAACCAGCCCAGTCACTATCTGAAAAACCAATTAAACCAAAGTCTTCTGACCTCCTATACCATACTCCAAAGCTGTTGCT